TCATATTTGATTGATAGCTTTGCTGGATTCTTGGTTTGCAGTTCTTTTCTTGGGCTGAGAATATCTGTGCACATGCATGGCAGAAGAACCCACCAGTGGTGTGGGTGGAGGGTGTCCAGTTGCTTAGGCATCCCCTCTAGTCACCAGAATGGAGGTGCACAAACAGTGGGGGGCCAATAAACAGATACCAAGAAAAAGAAAATCAGAACAAAAACCGACAAAGTGTATTGTTCACCTTTGTTCCGAGATTCCCGCAGCGTTTTTCCATGGTATGTCTGCTCCTTCACTTGTTCTTGCCGTTTGGTCTTGCCCAAGTTGTGGGCTCCAGGCCGCCGAGCCCAGCAGATCCAAAAGTAAACGATTTCTTATTTTTGCTACAATTTCCACTAACTATAAGGCTTCAAACCTTTAAAATATTCCTATCTAAGTGGTTCCAAATCTGCTTGCCTGATATTCTGTGGTATTGCTTATGGCGAACCTTACTGCACCTCCACCCTAGCCGCCATCCATCCCCGCCTCTGTACCTTTATTCTTAAGGCACACTAGTGGACTAAGACAAGTGTACCACATAGAGAACTTGTCTGAAGCCAGTCACTAATCACACAGATGTCAGGTTTAGGCACGCTTTGTTTGGAATAAAGTCATGCATGTATGAACTAGAATCCTAGTAGCAATACTTTCTGACTCACCCTTGTACATATATACTATATACATTGTAATTAGTTGCCATTGAGTCAGTTCCAATTCATAGTTACCCAATGTACACCTGAACAACACAATGTTCAATTTTGTATTATTCTCACAATAATTCTGTTTGAACCCATTGCTGCTGCTGCTGCTGTGTCAATCTATTTCTTTGGGGAGGGACGGTCTTTGACTTTTTTACTGGCCCTCCACTTTACCAAGTATAAAGTTCTTCCTCCAACGATTGAATTCTCCTGATAACAACTCCAAAGAGCAAGATGCAAAGTCACAATCCTCATTTCTAAGAAGCATTCTGTCTGTCCTACTTTCAAGACAGATTTTTAAATTTTTCTTGTAGTCTATGGTTCATTCATTATTCTTTACAAATATCATAATCCAAAAACATACAAATCCCTGTTGCCATCAAGTTTATATTCACTCCAACCCTATGATAGTCGAAACAGAAGCAGACTGCCACATTTTTCTCCTATAGAGTGGCTGGTCAGTTGGAACCTCTGACATACTGATTGTTGTAGTAATATGCCATCAAGTAGATTCCAGTGCATACAGACCCTGTATGCATTTGGTGGGTTTGAAATGCATACCTTGTGGTTCAAACCAAAGTTGAGGTCAGGTGCTTTTCCTACAAGGCCACATCAGGACTCCTGGTTAGCAGCTGAGTACTCAATGCTCTACCATTGCCACTTTTATTATAAATATATATGCACTTTAAAACTATGTAGGTGTCCTTGTGTGGTGCTGTAGGATAATGCAGTGGACTATTAATGGTAAGGTCATTGATTCAAACCCATCAGTAGCTTCTCAGAAACCCTATAAGGGTTGCTATGAATTTAAACCAACTCAATG